CCCCCGCCCCCGCCAGCTCTCAACCCCGCCCCCGCCGGCTGTTGGCCCCGCCCCCAGCCCCACACGCGCAGCTACCCTGGTCCCTGCAGTGGTGGGTGTGGCCCCGGGGGGGGTCCGGGGTGGGGCACAAAATCCCATTTTTGGGGTTTAACCCACGGGGTGCGCTTTTGCTGCGCACCCCCCACAATGTTTTTATTTTTTATTTTATTTTTACTTTTATTTATTTATTTTTTTGATTTTTTTTTTTTTTTGGGGGGGGGGCGGCGGAGCCGGGGTTGGGGGTGCCCACCCCCGGCCCCCCGGACCCCCGCCGGGGCCCCGGGGCCGGGGCTTGACAACCCTGCCAACACCCCTCTCTGCACCACTCAAGAAGCCCACTGCAGATGAAGTGTCCACTCAGCAGGGGAGCGCAGCTCCCAGGATGATGAAGAAGAACAGCAACTCGATGAAGATGAAGATCTGCCACGTTGAAGAAGAACTGCTGAAAGTGCGCGCTCATCAGCACTTGGGCGCCGAGCCCAGCTTTGTCACCAATGGAGCTGGCCGGCCCCATTTATGGCCGCCAGCGGCATGTGGAGAAGATGCCCTGCATACATCCCCACAATAGCGCAACAGGGAAGCAACGCGACCTCCACCAAGACTGCGGAAAAAAAAAGCAACGAAAAGAACCAAAAGAACCCCAAACTCGTCGGCCTCTGCGTACCTACAACACAGCAGACACCTACAGACCTATCTGACCGTCCAAACAGCAAACATCTACGGCCAAACAATCACGATCGACCTACATGCATCTAGATGGAAACCTTAACTAAGGGGACCCAAGGCTAGGACACACAAAAGAAAGACCCAGCTACCTACCAGTTTCCAGAAGGGCAGAAACAGGTAAAACAACAAGGCTGAAAGGCCTAAGGCTACAAAGTAGAGACTACTAGCGACAGGTTCAAGGTTCAAGCCCAACGAGGCTCAAAAACAGTCAAACACCACAAACACACCACAGGTCATGGGATCAAGTCGCCGGTTAACTTCAGCAATTGCAGAAACTGACAGCAAAGCCTAAGGGTCTAAGACTGCCAAATAGAGCCTGATAGCTACAGGTCGAAGGGTCAAGCCCAGTAGGGTTCGAAGCTAACAAACCAAATGTACAAATTACAGGTCACGGGATCAAGTCCCACACGGCCCACCCAAACTAAGGAAACAGCAAACACAGGAAGTGTACAATCTCACTGGGATACTGCGATTTATTGCATAATATCATTGTATGATACATCCGAACGAGCCCACCACCTCTTGTACCTGATGGTGTTTATACAAACTCTGACTTCCTCTTCATCTTGTTGCCAGACCACCTGAACGACCTGTACTTTGCACCAGCCTCCCTCCCTTCCACCATCTCTATTAAGACGCACTCGACGTCCTTCAGCCTCTGCAACATCATGTAGACTCAGCCAAATCATACCTCCGTGGGCGGTATAAGAGAGTGGGTGTCATCAATGTACATTATTAGGCCATGATGAGTGTTGTGATGGTTCGGTGATGATCTTAGCTACTGTGCATGCTTTCTTCACCACGTCCCGCAGTCACTCCAGCCTGCTCAAGTCGTGAAGCATGAAGCTACATCAGTGGGCTCCTCAAGGAACCCATAGGATTCTTGGCATAGGGCCTGATTTTCTGCTCTCACAGGTCCTACTACAGGCCAAGGGCGGATTTTGCAGGCCCACCTTCACTTAGGGCGGACATGGCCTATTTCCAGCTTTGCCGAGGGGCTCAATCCTCACATATCTATTTCTGGCACGTGAATAAACAAGATCCCCTCGTGCCTCCGTCAATCAGGAAACCCTATCAGCTCAGTCTCCAGACTCAGCATGCAAAGGAACCAGCCCCCCCAAGGCACTCCCTACTCGGAGGAGATTCCCAAAGTGCTATGCTGGAGTAAACCCAGCTCAACTGCGATGAGTTGATGAGCCACATGTACTTTTCTGTAAATCGCATATAGACAAGATCCCCTCGTGCCTCCGTCAATCAGGAAACCCTATCACCTCAGTCTCCAGACTCAGCATGCATAGGAACCAGCCCCCCCAAGGCACTCCCTACTCGGAGGAGATTCCCAAAGTGCTATACTGGAGTAAACCCAGCTCAACTGCAATGAGTTGATGAGCCACATGTACTTTTCTGTAAATCGCACACAGGGTTGATACAGTCCCAAAAGCAGGTTAAGAACTTACGAAAAAATTGCCATCCAAGAGTGATGAAATGAAGGAAGCCAACATGAGACCCTGCATTCATGGATGAGAAAGAGTGATCGTCAGCAAAGCCCTGAAAACGGATTTGCATGCTGTCCCATCTGACAAGGGTGAGAACATGGCTGTCATCCTTCTCCCCCCTCCCTTGTCCCCTCCTTTTCTCCTCCTTTTCTCCTCCTTTTCTCCTCCTTTTCTCTTCCTTTTCTCCTCCCTCCTCCCCTTCCACACCGTCAGATCATCCACGTGTCGCCCCTGGCAAGTATCAAAAGACAGCCCACCCACATGCCACCCTCAACAGGGGGGCACACGTGGTTAATGGGAACCCCCGCTTTTTAGCCCATAGGTCTAACCCCGCATGCACTGAAGAGGGCATTTCAGGGTAATTTACTATATTTTTTCAGTCTTTTGACTCTTTTCCTTTTTTTCTAATGCTCGGTTCTATTTTGGTCAAGGTTTGTGTGTGCAGGAGAAGCTGCATTTTTTTTGGGTCAGACACATCCAGGAAAGCCTTAGTGTGAGTATGCTCTGAGACACATCATACAAAGTTTTCTCAGAGTTGCTCCACCATCTGTCGTTGTAGTATAGTGGTAAGTATCCCTGCCTGTCACGCAGGAGACCCGGGTTCGATCCCCGGCAACGGCGTTGACATTTTTTGTTGTTGTTGATGTTTGTTTGCAAGGAACCCGACTTGCTGGAGTGCATCAGATCACATGCATATATATTGTTTTCCACAGATTGCGAAGTCTCACACAATACCCAATAGAAGATGAACGAGAACCAGGAAGCTCAACTCAATTAACAAACCCAGATTTAGAGAGAGAACATCATGAGTTCAAAGTGTATAGCGCTGAACAGAGTTACAAGTCTTCTTCGTTCAACATGAATTCCAAGCCTGGCGCTCATCAGCGCCAGCTGCCAAATGTCAATAACAGCGCTCAACAGGTAAGTGTCACAATAGCTCACACTTCCCCCTCTCTCGTCTGCCTTCTTCTCTCTCTCCCTCTATGTCTATAGTCCTGGTCTACCCTCATCCATCATGCATGCACACTCCCTATCACACGAGGGTCTACTTTGAATACTACTCACTGGCATCTCCTACTGACTATCCCCACTAACACACCAACTAGCGCTGGCGCAGCTATGGCTGCCTTCCCTCCAACCAGCACTCTCTCTTCTCTCTCATAGCGCTGCTCTTCAGCCTAGTGCAGCTCACTCACAACCAGCGCACAAGTGCCACGTCACTTCCACACTCTCATGAGAAGTGAGCATCTGTCCGAATGGGAGGCTGGCCAGTCCTTTATAGTGCTGGACTGGTCTGGCGTGGCCTGCATTCAGCCTCAAGTGTGCCTGGGACTCCTGCCCAGTACCGATTGTTGCAAAGTGTGTGTCCCAGTACCTTTTCCCATGGTCTGCTGCTGCTTTGGGCCATCGGGCCTGTCTTTTGGACTCCCGGTCTGAATCAGGACTGACTTGTGGGATTATGACTGGACTGGGACTGTAGCCTTTGACTTGTTGACGAACAGACATGCCTTTTCATTGAGGAGACATGACCCTTTCTCAGTCATAAAAACTGTGTCCAGTACCTGTTCGTGCAGGACGTGTTTGTGACTGTTCAAAACGTCTTTTCATTTCATTATGGATGCGACATATGCCTTAGGGAACTTTGCCTTTTGAGTTGCTGCTCGTGAATTTAGTTCTGGCCGACAGAGCCCCTTGCTGTTGGGGCATCCATTTGGGGACTGATTTGTAGAGGTTCTTTTATGTTGCAGAATCTGCAGATAAATGCAAATCCACTGACACAACGTTGGTATGGCTAAAACCAAACAAATAAAAAAAATTACTTTCAATTTCGGACCTCAACACCCAGCTGCTCATGGTGTTACGTAGTAATATCATTGTTGATGTTGCAGTAGCACTGTTTAGCGGTGTCAGTTGTCTTTCAATTTTTCTTTTCCGTTTTTTTTGGACAGTATCTGTTGTTGTCCCTCTACTACTCCAAAAGACAGCCCACCCACATGCAGCCCTCAACAGGGGAGGTGCTCATTTCAACCCCTACTGTAGTAGAGGGACAACAACAGATACTGTCCAAAAAAAAAAAGAAAAGAAAAATCGAAAGACAACTGACACCCCTTAACAGTGGTACTGCAACATCAACAATGATATTACTATGTATAAAAATATTAAAAATAAAACGTTGTGTCAGTGGATTGCTCATTTCATCAGTGGATTTTCATTTATCTGCAAACATCAACGAGAAGAAGACATGAGCGCCGTTGCCGGGGATCGAACCCGGGTCTCCTGCGTGACAGGCAGGGATACTTACCACTATACTACAACGACAGATGGTGGAGCAATTCTGAGAGAAGTTATATGGTGTGTCTCAGAGCATACTCACACTAAGACTTTCCTGGATGTGTCTGACCACAAAAAGTGCAGCTTCTCCTGCACAAACAGACCTTGACCAAAATAGAACCGGGCATTAGAAAAAAAGGAAAAGACTCAAAAGAGTCAAAAGAGTCAAAAGACTGAAAAAAATTACACTGAAATGCCCTTTTCACTGTTTTCAGTGCTTGCGGGGTTAAACCTATGGGCTGAAAAGCGGGGGTTCCCATTAATGTCCACATTGTGGTATGCCGGTGCCATTCATATTCCAGGCAGGCGCACATTTGTGTATCTTCGAGAAGCGATTCAATCATGTTTATGGTCAAATGATGCGGAAGCTTTGGACTCCATCTGCAGAGTGGCATGGACGAAGCTCACCCAACCTCGGAGCCGAGGGTGGCTTGGGTTTGTTGGAACCAAGAGTACAGCTGATGGCATTGCAGATAAGACACTTGCTGTGGTTCCTGCTGAATACTGCAGGGGAGCAATGGCACCAGGTTACTTCACAGCATTTGGCGTACACGCTCAGGACACGGCCTGAGATGGTTGAGTTGTGCCTCATTAGCAGCAAGCTCATCGGCCATGTCAGGTGGGAGGTGGTAAGGTGGAATGGTTGACCCCATTGGGAATCTGGGAAAAAAAATCCAGCTGCTGACCCGGGAGCCGTGGACAGCAGATGAGGTTTTCAACCAGATTCTCTTTGACGGCCATTTCATCTGCGATGGCCAAGACCCAAGGGGACCCATTCCCATGGCAGGGGCAAAGGGCTGCATTTGGCAGGCAGTGGGCAGAACAGGGAGTTTTTAAGATAGGCCATCTTTGGGATGAGCAGTTGCAGGACTGGAAAAGCAGTGCTGAGATGATGAGAATCCTTCGCACCAGGTACAAAAGCTCCGAAGGTTTGACGGAATCAAGGACGCGAGCCCAACTCAATGGGTGGCCCTGCTGCAGCAGAATCCGGTCACCAAGGGTGAATGGGTCAAAAGGTGGAATGAGGAACGAAGGGACCTAATCTATAGGGCTGAAGCCGAAATGCCGGGGAACACGCTCGAGGTAATAGAGTGGAAAGTGGTGACAGGGTACATGGGCCTAGGGGAGCCATTGGTAGGGAGCGGAGAGGGAGGAACCCCTGTGAGAAGAACTCTTTCACGAAGCACAGTAGAGACAGTGGCAGTCTGTCAGGGCGACAAGCAGTGGCCTTACCACTTCCTCCCATACAGCATTTCGAAGAGAAGGCGGGATCTGTGTACATCAACCACTTCGAAGGATATATAGATCCCTCTTACCACAGGTTGATATATGGGAGGAACTGCAAGGGCGATGGGCCAAGAGAGATTGGTTACCGTTTGTGCAATTGGGATGATGGACGAGGCGCAAGTGGAGGGAGCAATGTGCGCTCTGGATGGCTATGCCAGATCAGAAAGATGCGGCACTGCTCTGGCAGATTGCACATCTTGCCATTCCTACACATCAAACGGACGGGCAAACGGAGCGGGCTCATCAAACCGCTCAAATGATTCTCCCTACGTTTCTGTCCGGACCAAAAGAATTGGGTCGACCACCTCCCCGACATCCAGTTCGCCTACAAAACTTTGTTGCATCCGGCGATCGGCGTAACTCCATTCGAGCTGCACCACGTTGGCCGGAAAGGCTGTATCTTCGCTGATCATCTATTTCCACGGACTGCCGACATTAACGCCCCTTGCTCCCCTGCCTCCATTCGGAAGTACTGGAAATTGTTGGCGAAAACCCGCACAAACATGAAGAAGGCTCAAGTTGGCATGCAGCAGCAAGCCAATCGGCGTCGCGTGCCATGTACTATCCGCGCCGGTGACCTTGTTTGGGTCTCCGCGGACGGGCAAACGGAGCGGGCTCATCAAACCGCTCAAATGACTCTCCCTACGTTTCTGTCCGGACCAAAAGAATTGGGTCGACCGCCTCCCCGACATCCAGTTCGCCTACAAAACTTTGTTGCATCCGGCGATCGGCGTAACTCCATTCGAGCTGCACCACGGTGACCGGAAAGGCTGTATCTTCGCTGATCATCTATTCCCACGGACTGCCGACATTAACGCCCCTTGCTCCCCTGCCTCCATTCGGAAGTACTGGAAATTGTTGGCGAAAACCCGCACAAACATGAAGAAGGCTCAAGTTGGCATGCAGCAGCAAGCCAATCAGCGTCGCGTGCCATGTACTATCCGCGCCGGTGACCTTGTTTGGGTCTCCGCGGAAGAGTTTGCACCCGAACAAAGCGTTTCGCGCAAGCTACTCTCCAAGTGGTTTGGACTTGGACCGTCACATCAGCCGCGGGTGACGAGCGCGATGGCCCATCATTTGTGATCGACATCGCACCGCATCTATTGGTCTACCTGGTCTTCCACGCCACCAAGCTGGCTATGTATACACCATCCAAGAGCGACGACTTCCCGGGCCGACGATCGCAGGACCCTCCTTCCATGGATGGTCATCAGGAGATCGATCGTGTCGTCACGCACCGCAAGTACGGCAACAAGCCGATGCAGTACAAGGTCACATTTAAGGGGTGGGACCTTGACGGCACATGGTCGATTTCGCGAGCAGACTTGCAAGCATCCGCACCGCTGATCTACGCCCACTACGAGAAGCAATAGCCAAGGAAGCTGCACAACCCGCCCCTCCCACCCAGACTTCGGTCCCTCCCTCTGACAGGCAGCTTCGCCCTCTCAGGTAAGCTCAGTCTTTCAAGGAGGAGGGGGTGTGGCATTCTCTGTTCCACACGGGCCCTTCGCAGGGCCAGGTCCGTAGGAGTAGGGGTTAGCAGGGTTAGTAGGTCCGATTGGGTCAGATTAGCACTAGGCCCTGGCGCGTCCTTTCGTTAGCGCCAGGCCCCCAGTTAGAGGCCCTGTTAGGCCAGCAGCAGGGGGCACAGGCCCTGGGTGCCGTTTCAGGCCCCAGGCACCATTTCCAAAGGGCACAGGCCCTGGGCGCCAGTTTAGATGCCAAACTCTGTTCCGTTTGGGCGCCAAGTTTAGGCGCCAAAGTTCCCACTCAGGTCACTACCTGAGGCCGGACCAGCGTTATTTATAGCTGGTCGGTCTCAGCTTCGGGATGGATTCTTCAGGCATTCGTGGAGGTACTCAGTAGCAGTAGCTGTAGTTGACTATAGGATAGCAGTAGTCTTCCAGCGCCGGGCGCTGTGTTAGGACTTCGGCCACGAGCTACCGCTGCAGCCTACTGCAGCGGAGGTTGGAGGGAGACTGGCTATGGCGGAGGCCAGGGAGACTCACCTGACGACTTACCTGTGACGGTATCGCTCCAGCTTCGTCGTCAGCTGGTCCATACCTGCATCAAGGCGACACCTTTTCGCAGGTTAGTGCCTGGTACACACACACACACACACACACACACACACACACA